GGATCGCACAATATGTGACTTGAAGTGGTGTTGGTGTTGAGTGTTGGTCGAATAGCTTATACTAGATAAGATGAGGTTAATGGAAATGGAATGAGTGCTATCGGACTTGATTATAGTATGTTTTGAATAATAGCATCATTAATTAGTTCAAAATTTGGCAATGGTCCTTATCGAGCGAGAGAGATCTGCGACTTGTTGTTCTGATGAGTGGTTGTGAGTATATGTGTGTTTCTTTCATCATTAGCAGGTACAAAAGATTCGGACAAGGTTCTACTTTATATGAGGTTTGTTACCGATACCGGGTTTGTTATTGAGAAACCATTGTGGTAGGAAGTTATTACTATGAGTATCTGAGTCATGCGGTATATCATGTGATTATATCTTAAGTTATTGTTATGGCTTGATACATCTCGTTTAGACTTATATAGTGTATAGATGCAAGATTCAGATCTTATGATGAATTCCCGATGTTGGAGATTGGATTCTAAGGGTTGTGAATAAACGTTGAGGTAAGGATCTTCTGTTAGGTTATTTTGTTGGACTTATATGGATTGAGGTGACGTAGGATCACCCATGGATAGGGCTATGGTGAGTTTACATAGTGATTTGATGGCTTGGGTGACGTAGGATCACCCATGGATTGGGGTATGGTGAGTTTACACAGTGATTTGATGGCTTGGGATCGACTTTTGGCAGATTCAAAGACGAACATATGTTTAAGTGGGGGAGAATGTAACGACCCGACCGATTGTTTTGAGAATTTTTATTTCTTTTGGTGGTTTAAGGGCTTGGGTAGCTTCATATGATGTATTATGACTTGCGTGTATGGTCGGTTTTGGTTTTTGAGTGGTCGGTATTTGGTTTAGAATAATGATTCTCAATTTAAAAGCTTTAAGTTGGAAGAGTTGACCAAGTTTGACTTTTGTGTATGTGATCTATAAGAATTTTTATAATTCCATTAGGTCCAAATGGTGAATTTTGGCTTGGTCGTATGCCTCGTATCTGCATTTGGGCATTTCTAGAATGTTTTGGCTCTAATTGGCGAAAGTCAGCAATTTGAAGATTTAAAAATTTCATAAGTTTGACCATGATTAGACTTTATGACTATCAGGTACAGATTATGGTTTCGGGACTTGGAATAGGTCTTTTTTTCATTTTTGACTTGTCTGCAAAATTTGGTATCATTCCGAATCAATTTGGTAGGAATCAAATGCTTGGTTGTGATTTTAGCGATTCTTGGGTTCACTATGAATTCTATGTGTTTTGGTGTCTGATTCATGGTTCCGGATATTATTTTGGTATTTTTAGCTCACAAGCGAGTTTGTATAATATTTTTAGACTGATGTGGATGTATGGTGTGGAGCCTCGAAGGCTCGAGTGAGTTTGGGACATGTTTTGGATTGGTTTGTGCTTATTTCTCAGCAGCTTATGTGCTGGTGCTACAGTTATTGCAAATGCGAGTACCAATTCGCTTTTGCGAGTATCGCATTTACGAAAGGGACACTAGGTGGATGGCTTCGCAGCCAGCCTCACAAATGAAATGAGGGTTTGTGCTGGGAGTTGTTCGCTTTTGCGACCTTTTGGCCGCTTTTGCGAAGGGGACTGACTTTGCAAATGCGAAGTTAGGGTTGCATTTGTGGCATCCCCTGGATTTTTCAGGCATCGCAATAGCGATGCAATTTTCTCATTTGCGGGGTACGCAAATGCAAAGCCCATGTCGTATTTGCGACATCCGCGGCTGCACAAAAGATTGTATTTTGGGACTTAAGTCTCATTTTATCACATTTTGAGCTCTAGACTAGATGGAGGGCGATTTTCGAAGGAGCTTTCATACCAAACTATTGAGTAAGTAATTTTGACTCAATTTTGATTATATAACATGATTATTTATGAGTTTTAACATCTAAATCATGGGATTTGAGGAGAAAATTTAGGGATTTCTTACTATATTTTGAAAAATAAAATTTGAGATTTGAGTCGATTTTGACCAAACACATATTTGGACTCATGGGGTTATGAGTAGTCAAGATCTACCCCTTGACTCTGATTTTGATCGGGCGAACCCTGGATTGACTTTTGTTGGTTTTTTGGGAAAGTGTAAAGATCTTAACTTTATTAATTTAAATTAGTTTCTCTTGCATTATTTGATATTATTAAGTCATTGTTTTGTTATATTTGAGCTGGACGAAGGTAAATTTTAAGGGAAATGTAATTTTAGAGTACTGAATTGGCCTAATTAAGGTAAGTATCTTTTTTAAATTTTTGTGGGGGATTTACCCCTTAGGATTTGGCCTTATTGCATTATTTGAAGTATGTGAAAAGATGTGTACATGAGGTGACGAGTGTGTGCACGGGCTTATGTGTGATAATTGATCAGATTAGACCTTTAGGTTATTAATTTTCTTTGAATTGAAGTTGTTGTTATATGAAGAACATTCATTGTTGATTTACTTTCCGTATTCTTGTGTTATTGTTGTTGAATCGTGAGCTATGTATTATTGTGGTATTGATATTGTTGTTTGAGCAATATTGTGGCATATAGGCACGTGGTGTGTGGTTGATTATTTTGTTGTGATTGAGATGCGTATGTATCAACATAGGGGTGGTGTGCATATTAATGCACATGTGGCGAGATAAGGGGGCTTATGCGCATGGTGCAAGTAAGGAAAAATACTTCATTGTAATGCACATGCAACAAGATAAGTGGTCTTAAGCACGTGAATCTATTTCAGAAAAATTATATTTTTATAATGTGAAGTTCACGCGGCGTCATAAGGATGATTTATGATTTTGATATGTGGCACATCAGAGTTACTCTTGTTGTTATTCTTGTGTTCGAACGTTTTATGACTTATTGTGTATGCCATATTTTCTACGTGATTTATTGCATTTCTAATGTTCTAATTTGTGTCTTTGTTATTACTTGATGATTTAGTTTCCAAGATGCATATACCTGTGATAATAGGTGAATTTAACTATATTCAGGCCCTAAATAACCGCCTTCTTGCATAGTTTTGATAATAAAAGTGATAACAAAATGCTCTTATTAGTGTTATTCATGACTTGCAGGTTATATATGACTAGGGAAGGCTAGGAAGTACTTTTGGAGTCAAAAATTGAAGAAAGAGAGGCCATCCGTGAAATATCCCAAGTGAACCACGCAAAAACAAGCTGAAGAATCAGAGAAATGATTCTGTCGCGGTTCCACCGCGACCGTGGCAGAACCGCGGTGAAGAATGCTCCAGGACAAAAGGAGATTCAGAGGAGCTGTTTGGCCGCGGTTCCACCGCGACCGCGGCAGAACCGCGGCAGGCGCGAGAAAGTTCAGGGACTAAAGTGCAAAACACGGGATTTTTAGCCCAAAACACTATTTTAAACACTAGACTCCGCCCAAGAGAGGCATGTATTATTTTGGAGAGTATTTTTGGCAAGAAGAACAATTGTGAGAGATTACCCAAAACATCTTTCTTCTTTTCTTTGATTTTTATTGCTAGTTTATGATGAATGTTATCTTAGTTTGTTTACCCATCGTTATGAGTAGCTAAATCCTTTGTCTAAGGTTTTGATGGAACCTATTGGGGGATAAACTTCTTGTTTATGTGAATACAAATTGCTAGTTTCAATCTTTATTTGTTCAACTATATTCTTGTTGTAGTTAATTGACAGGATCCTCAATTAGCTGTGCCTATTTAGTGTGCATAACTCGAGAGAGATTGCATATTTAGGTTATTCTTGAACAACACTACTCCCAAAGTATAAGAGGGATCTATAACTGCGTGTTTAAAGGGCGGTATTAGGGATAACAAATCCTTGAGTGCAATCTGAAGTGAACTGTGTTAATTAAAGCTAGCTAGTGTATCTCGGGAGAGTGCATTGAGTATATTACTGTGATTACTCGGGAGAGATATGTGGTAAGATGAGAGTTCATGATTGATAGAGGTGTGTTGGTTAATTTGTATGAAGCATAAACAGAAGGGATTCCATCAATAGGGGAAGTCATTACCTTAGCATTTTCTCATTATTGTTTACAACCTTAGCATTTTAGTTTACAGCTTGTTATTTACTTGCAATCTTAGTTAGTAAAGAAACCATCAACGGTGATTCAAACGTCTGGGGAAGTTGGTTCTCAAGAGTTTAGTAGTTCTAAAGATTGTGATTGATAGGTTAATTCTCTGTGGATTCGACCCTGGGCGGAATACTCAGGTTATATTTGCAACGTCCGCATTGTTCTTTTTATAAGGCATAGTTGGGCGTGATCAAATTTTGACGCCGTTTCCGGGGAATTAACGGAATTATCAATTACCATTGATAGAAATACAACAAATTCTTAGTATAGTCAGTCTTCTCTACACCAAGATTTGATTGAATTTTTTTTACAGTTGTTGACGTGGTTGCACAGGTGTATGCCTAGAAACTCTACGAGGACTGGAGAAGTACTTGAAGGACTCTCAGACCCAGAGAAAACATTCCGGATATTGAACCATGTCAACAGAAGACTTCAACAACCTCATCAAACACACAACCTCGAAATTGACATGGGTGACGTAGACAACATCAACGGAAACGTCAGAGATAGGGCACTTCCTGTGCCTGAGGCTGCACTATATGACTGGGCACAACCCACAACTGACAATCTGGCCACTGCCATTGTTGTGCCCGCAATACAAGCTGAATCGTTCCAGATCACGAACAACATGCTGCACTTGCTGCAAAATAAGGGATTATTTTCTAGGACACTAGCCGAAGATCCTCAGCAGCACTTGAAGAACTTCCTATCGATTTGCAAAACTCAAAGGCAACCCAACATAACTCCGGAAGCAATCAGACTGTTATTATTTCCATTCTCGGTGACAGGAGCTGCTTAGGTCTGGCTAAACTCACTCCCCATAAACTCTATAGAAACTTGGGATGATTTAGTCAAGCAATTTCACATCAAGTTCCACCCGCCCAACAAAACAGCTCAACAAATTGATGAGATCGTGAGCTTTAAACAGAAACCAATGGAGACACTGCATGAGACATGGAGCCGGTTTAAAGGAATGTTGGTTATATGTCCACACCATGGTATTCCAGATCAGATGTTGGGACAACGGTTTTACATGGGACTGTCATATAGCATGAAGAACATTGTAGATGTCTCAGCTGGTGGGGCCTTTTTGAGCAAAACTTGGAGAGAAGGTCAGAGTCTGCTTGACAAAATGGCTCACAATTCGGGGTGGACGACGAGGAATGCACTTATCACTCTAGTGGTACACTCAGTGCCTTTTGACCCATCAAATTCCATGCCTGAAAATGTGGCGACCCTTTTGACACAGATGAGCATACTCACCAAAAAGGTGAAGGAATCGGGGCAGAAACAGCAAGTGCACATTGTAGATACCACCAATGGGGGCTTGTGCACATCTTGCATTAGTCAGCCAATTGGTAATCCGTGGAATGCTGAACATGATCATCATCATCAGCACCCTGAGGATATGAACTATGTGTCAAACTATGGAGGCCAGAGACAGGGCAATCAGAACTGGGGTCAACAAACTCAGCAGCCATACAGACCACCTCAGCCACAATACAACACTGGAAACATGGGAGGTATGGGACCCCCCAACAATATGGCACCTTATCCAAGGTCACAGGGGTACAACAGTCAACAACAAGGATATCTCCCACCTCAGCAACAACATGGTGGAAGGCAAGAAGATGGGTTCACAAGACTTGAAGCAATGATGCAGCAGGTGTTTGGGTCCAATGCAAAAATAAATGAAAGAGTAGATGCACATGATGCAACAATCAAAAATATTGAAGTGCAATTGGGCCAAATTTCAATGTCTCTGAACAATCGTCCTCAGGGGACATTACCTGCAGATACCCAAATTAATCCTAAAGATCAGGGCCCGAAGCAGCTGATGGCGGTGAGTCTCCGTAATGGCAGGGACCTTGATGTAGAGCAGGAGAGAGCTCGTGACAATATATAGGCTGAGACACTCATTCAGGTAACCATTAAGCTAGATGATTCCACAAGGCTGACAGATGTGACAATCCAGCCTGCTTAGGAAGAAAAGAATACTCAGCAGGAGACCGAGAAAGTTGCTAAAGCAGTTGAAGAGCCGGTAGTAGAGATAGTTGCTGAGAAAGAAAAGTCCCAAGAGATTGGGAAGAAACGACCTCCTGCTCCATTTCCATAGAGGTTGGCCAAGCATCAAAAGGAGGAGCAGTACAAAAAGTTCTTTGAGATGCTCAAGCAAATTCAAGTTAATATTCCATTGAGTGAAGCTTTAAAGGAGATGCCTGGATACTCAAAAATGATGAAAGATTTAATGTCCTGGAAATTTGACTTCCAAGACTTGGCCACAGTGACACTTACTCAGACGTGCAGTGCAGTGGTAACTAGACCTATTGCTGAAAAGCTCTCTGATCCAGTGAGTTTTACTATTCCATGCACTATTGGAAACTTTGCTTTTGCAAAAGCACTTTGTGATTTAGGGGCCAGCATTAATCTTATGCCCCTGGTCATTTACAAAAAGTTGGGCATTGGGAGAGCTAGACCCACTTCTATGTTGTTGCAGCTGGCTGACAGGACTGTGAAGCATCCATTTGGGATCCTTGATGATGTACTTATTCAGGTGGGGAAATTCGTGTTCCCTGCAGATTTTGTGATATTGGATTGCAAAGTGGATGAAGAAATTCCTATCATCTTAGGAAGACCATTCTTGGCCACAGGGAGAGCTCTTATTGATTGTGAGACCGGAGAACTTAAGATGAGGCTCAATGATGAAGAGATTGTATTCAATGTGCAAAAATCTATGAGGCGACCAAGTGAGTTCGCCAATTGCTCTCTTATTGATGCCGTAGATGTAATCGTACAGTCTGATGATGAAGTGTTGACGGTTGAGGATCCCCTAGCTGCATGTTTGACGAATTTGGAGGAAGTGAATAGTGAGAACTTGGCGGGATGGGTGTTGGCACTGGAAGGTAGAGGGTCTTGGAAAAGAAATCTAGAGTTTGATCCCCTACACTTAGAAAAGAGGGAGACTCCTCCAGCTAAGCCATCCATTGAAGAACCACCGAAG